AGCAATTGCCCTTGCAAAGAATCCGATCTTTCATGAAAGAAGCAAGCACATTGATATAAAGTATCATTTCATTCGAGATCTAGTGAAGTCCGAGGAGATTGTGTTACAGTTTTGCAAGTCGGAAGACCAAGTGGCTGACATGTTTACTAAGCCGTTGAAGACGAACTCCTTCCTTAAACTCAAGAGAATGATCGGCATGGTCAAGATGAGCTCGGTTTAAGGGAGGCTGTTGGAAATAAAAAAGACTTTTCGTAATCCAAGCTCATCTCGTGAATTAGATTCTTATAATTATTATCTAGAGACTTAGAGTCTTGGAAATTGTTATCGAGGAAATTAACGTTTACTTAGGCTATGTTCGATTCCGGAAAAATATTTTTCCAGAAAACATTTTCCGCGTTTTCCGGTGTTCGGGAGCGGAAAATGTTTTCCATGGGAAAACATTTTCCTTCCCCACCCGCAAATCCTTCATTGTTTTGAGGAAAATGATTTCCTCTTTTCACAAAGAGGAAATCATTTTCCCCCAAAGTGAAGGCAAAATTGCCCATGGGAGGGAAAATGTTTTCTGTGGGAGAGGAAGTTGATCGCCGATCACCGCCGTCGGCCGCCGGCCGCCGGTCGCCGCCGCCGACGTTCGACGGTCGCCGCCGCCGATCGCCGTCGCCGATCGCCACCACCGGTCATCGGTCGCCGGTCCACCGTCGATCGTCGGTGGCCGCCCGTTGCCGCCGCCCGTCGCCGGCCGCCGATCCACCGTCGATCGTCGGCCGTCGCCGGCCGTTGGTCGCCAGTCCCACCGCGCCGCCCGCCGCCCGCTCGTCGGTCACCGGTCATTGTCGGTCGTCGGCCGCCGCCGATCGTCGGTCACCGGTCATTGTCGGTCGTCGGCCGCCGCCGGTCGCCGGACGTCGCCGGATCGGCGATCGCCGAACACCAGAAAATTGTGTTCCAGAAAAACATTTTTCAGGAAAATGACTTCTGGGAAAATATTTTCCGCCAAACGAACGGAGCCTTATTATTGCTTGTTTACAAAATAATTTTTAATTGTTCTAGTTATCTAAAAGGTCTATAAATATTATGTAGTTCTTCAAGACATATTAGAATATCAATTCTAAATTTTATTATTCCAACAATTGTCCTCTAAGGACCCGTAGTGGAGGGTTAAAATTATTAGTAAAATTATTCAACTTTTTCGCGCTCGATCAAATGTCACGTCGCCATGTGAAACACGCCTTTGTTTTTTTACCTGCAAATGATCGCCGCGTCGTTGTTACCTTGTAAAAAACAGCAAAAGGGAAGACATTATTGTCCTGTCCCCTGAGGACCTGTGGTGAAGTACGTACCTTCTTACATGGCCATGCAAAACGTGGCCACTTTATTAGCTGTAAAGGATTCATGACATTAGTGTTACTTTCGAAAAACAGCAAAAGGAAAAGCAAATGTTTTTGTCCTCTAAGGACCTGTCAGGGCGGGTGAACCTTATTAAGGACCGTCAGGGAGGGTGAACCTTATTAAGGACCTGTCAGGGAGGGTGAACCTTATTAAGGACCGTCAGGGAGGGTGAACCTTATTATAGAAACTTTTGCTGCTTCGTGTCCGTATAAAACAACTGATGGACATGATAGACATGAAAAGACCAAAATAGTCCTAGGTTTTTAAAAGTTCATCCAATCAAACGCGGCATCTCCCTGTGAAACGTACACCGTTCCGAGTGTGCAAATGATTCGTGACATTAGTGTCACTTTGGGAAAAAAATATTTTAATATTACGAAAAATCCCAAATTAATATATCCGTGATAAATTTATCTCAAATTATTTTTTTGATCATAAAAAATCTCAAACCGGTACATCTGTGATAATTTTACTCGAACTATTATTTTGATCATCAAAAATCTCAAATTGATACAACTGTAACAATTTTACCCCCAAACTAATTTCTTGATCACCAAAAATCCAAACTGATACACTTGTGATAAATTTACCCTCCGTTAGTTTTCCTTAAATTTTACTGTCAAATTACTAAGTTTAATTACACGTGCTAATTGACAGGTGTACCGATTTTGGGTTTTACCCCTCTGTTTGTCACAAGTTTATCAATTTGTGATTTTCGTGATATTAATATAATCTAACGGACACTAACGAAGGGTAAATTTATCACAAATGTACTAGTTTGGGATTTTTAGTGGTCAAAAAATTAGTTTGGGATAAAATTATCACAGATGTACCAGTTTGAAATTTTTTGTGGTCAAAAAATTAGTTCAGGATAAAATTGTCATAAGTGTACCTGTTTTGGATTTTTGGTGGTAAAAAAAGTAGTTCGAGGTAAAATTATCACAGGTATACCAGTTTAGGATTTTTCGTGATATTAACCCAAAAAAAAAGCAAGAAGAGACTTTATTATCCTCTAAGGAACGAAGTGCACCGTGGAACTTATTTGTGTTCGAATATAACAACGAATGGACACGTGAGACGTGAAAAGACCAAGATGATTCTAAGTTTGCAAATGTTCATCCAAACAAACTATCATAACTATTATACGGCGTCCACTTTGGTGCAAAAAATTTTCAAACAAAAAATGACCAATTCAATCCTATAGAGGCTTCTTTTACGGATTCCAATGCAGTCCTAAATTTTTCAATTTTGCTAATGTAATTCTGTACCTATGTGTGAGTTTTCAATATAGTCATTTCAACCAATTTTCATCTAATATTGCTAATGTGGCGGTCCATCATTGTCGATCATCCGATGTGGCATGCCGACAATCTGACCAAGACAAATTTCAAGTACGATTCATAGATACTACCTAGTCACGAACTCGAATTGCGTTTTCTTGTCAAGAATTGGATTTGTTGGATTGCCAATATTATTGAACTTGAGTTAAGAATAAAATGTCCAATGAAAATAAGGATAAAGTGAGAGATTTAGGCCACCATTGTCAATTCCATTTAATCCTACCCTATTTAAGTATAACAATTTTGGGAAATGATAAAAACTTTGAAGATATAACATTTGATATTGAAACTTTGAAAGAATGGTGACATTTTAATGATGTTCCCGTTATCAAGTCACCTTTCCGAACTCACTAGATAGACTACCTTAACTTCTATGATACTGTTTGATCCTCCTGACCAGGTTGTTTCCCGGCTTCACGCCCTCCAATTACAACCCGAGATCACCAAGTTCGGGGTGGCCGTGACTCATGGTATTGTTTTGAAAATAGTTGTTCCAAAAGAGAACAAAACTCGTGGAAACGTAACCCAGTCTAGTCTATCTAGATTCATCAACGTAAGGATAGGATGGTTGGATCAGTTAAACCTATACCTCGGTCATGTACTTAATTTTCGTGTGGTCGGCATCCTGTGTGCCGATAAGTAATCGCATATATGTTCAGTACGTAAGCACCAACACTCAGTACAAATCCGGTTCACAATAACTAATGATTCTGATAGTCCGCTAGGCATCAAGCCGATTTGTCTTGCTACCATTTCGCTTGATTACTACCTTATGTTGTTGAGATAGATCGGTGAAAGATAAGCACATTAGGATATAAGCAAAAGGGATAAATGCAAAAGAAATTATAAATCTTATCAGGAAAGTATAATTGAATCTTAAAACTTTCAAAAAGTGCAATCTAATCATAAAACTTGTCAAACTAGTGCAATCGAATCTTTCGTTAACTTGTTCCAATTTGACTAATGAAAAATGCCGATGTGGCCTTTTTTGTAATTTTCTCTATCTTACATGGCTTTGATGTTAACAAAAGCTTGGCGCAAATGCCAAAACGCCATTATTTTGGTCCAAATCTAATTTTTTAGTCCAACTCATAATCAAATTAGATTAGAAACATAAAACAGGCTAAAACCTTTTTTGGCAAAAAAGAACACAAACTCAAAAAAGAAAAATTTTAAAAAGGGCCCAAGGCCCTCACTTCGTGGTACAGCGCCACCACCTCACCATCACCGGAAAGGGTCGGTGGCAGTCGCTAGGGCCTCGGCGATGGTCGGCAACTGGCTGAGATATGAGGGAGGAGGGCAGCAATTGTAGAGCGGGTACACTGATTTGAGCGAGCAGACTGGCCCAAATCCAACCACCTCTCAATCCTGAGTTTCCCTTAGGTCTACTTTGATCACAACTCTCTCTCACTCTGCCTTCCATTTTTGCAATCACACTGTGGCAGAAGCACGACACAGGCCGTCTTGAGGTACTTAGGGCACCGGATCTCGACGATGCCGCCTCGGCAATCCCGCTGGCCCTTTCCGGCGATGATGGGGTGGGGTGGTGGCATCACCCCACTAGGTGAGGGCTAGCATGCCCTCGCTTTGTGGTTTTTTTTTTCTCTTTTTTTTCTACTTTTATTTGCAGCTTTTTTTCCAAAAAAACAAACCTCGAGTAATGTTAGAAAAAGTCTCGCGTTCGGAAATTTAATATGGTTTAGAGCAGTTAATATATCTTATATTGATCCCATTTGTTTCGGTGTGTGGTGCTCATTACCAACGCCGCTATCACGGTTCGGTCTTCACGGAAGAGATAGGTTGAAGGAGAGAGTTGCGGTGTACCAGTCTTCACAATACCGTGCCTATAACGCAACAAAATGTCGATTCTAGTGGAGATATCTTGATGCAAAAAGATACATGAATTAAGAGGAAGCAAACCTCAATTAATGCATATCCTAATTAGCACATAACTCATTGGCCCACGTGTACATCATCGGAGATCATTGACTTATAAGAATAAGAAAAATGACACAAACAGTCCCTGAACTTTTGTTTAATGTGCAATTTGGTCCATGAATTTTTAATTTGTTCAATGTAGTCCCTGAACTTTAGCTTAATTGAAACAAAAAGTCCAGGGACCACATTGAACAAACTAAAAGTTCAGAAACTATATTGAACAAATTAAAAATTTAGGGATTAAATTGTATATTGATCCAAAATTCATGGACTATTTATGTCATTTTCCCTATAAAAATCCGATCAACTAAAGAGTTGGCTAGTAAAGTTTCAATTCTCTCTCTCTCCCTCTCTTCCTTCACAGCTTACGCGCATTAATTGCTGTAGTTTCAAAACCTCAAGAAATGGCTGATATCATGGTGTTGTTCGACTTCGACAAGACCATCATGGATTGGGACTGCGACGATTGGATTGTCCATGAGTTGGGGTTGACCGATTTGATTGATGAGCTTCGTCCTACCATGCCCTGGAACTCTCTCATGGTGAATTCCTGTTTTTTTTTTTTTTTTGGTTTGCTTTTTCTCATATTATTATTTTTTTTGGTCGAACTCATGAGAGGTTCATCTGAATCTGCCTTTGCTGAATTTTTCTTTTCCTGGAGAATTGGTTTTTCATTTCATTCTCTCCGTGGATTTTCCTCATCTTGGTGTACCGTAGAACACCCCAATTTTGTGAACAATCTCTTCGTACCTTGGCAAAATCTGTACAGCACAATTTGGTCTAGTATTTTTTTTTTCTCTCCAGAGAATTTTTAGGGCGATAATAGCGCTTGAGTTGAAGTGCGGGGTCTTGTCTATTTGAAGCTTTTGAAATCAGAGGCCGATGCTTTTGTGCACAACCCAAAAATTCTTGCAGGACAAGATGATGGGGGAGCTTCATTCGAGAGGAACAACAGTCGAAGAAATTGCAGATGTTCTGAAAAGAGCTACGATGCATCCCAGGATAGTTCCCGCCATCAAATCAATTCATGCTTTGGGGTAATAAATCGAAACGAAGCGGTTTCTCTCTTTCTCTGCTCGGCGCTCAGTTTTGGAGCAAAGGAAATTGAGTGAGGTTATCTTTTCTCGGGGATCGAATTTTTTCAGGTATGAGCTGCGGATCGTAAGTGATGCCAATATCTTTTACATCGAGACGATCCTGAAACATCTGGGCATACGGGAGTGTTTGTCCGAGATCAACACAAACCCGAGCTTTGTCGACGAAGGAGGGAGGCTCAGAATTTTGCCTTTTCATGACTTCAGGTCCTCTTCTCATGGATGTGGTCTCTGCCCTCCAAACATGTGCAAGGTAATGAAAGATGTATGTCTGGTTTTTTTTCATTTTCTATCCTTGATTGTTGCCTGCTTCTGAAGGAGAGAAGCTTCTTGAAGTTTCAATGCATGCTGATGAAAATTCAAACGAGCTTTCAAAAATTAGGAACAAAATCCGTGACATTTTGACGAGAACCATTTAGAAATGCGTTTGATAACTGAACAAAATTTCTTTTTATTAATAATATTTTAAATTTTTTAATATTTCTTTCTTTTCTTTTTTTCTTCTTCCCCTTCGTTGGCCCATGGCTAGGGTCGGCTAGGCCATCCACCAGCGAGGGCAGCCCTCGCCGGCTCCGACGAGGGCTGGACCCTCATCTCCGTCCTCGCCAGATCTAGCGAGGGCGGCAGCGAGGGTCTCCCTTGCCCTCGCCGGCCCTGGCTTGTGGTCGGCTGCCCAAGAATATGAAGAAGAAGAAAAAAATTTATTTTTCATTTCTGATTTTTGTTCCCAGAATCAAGAATTAACTTTTTTTTATTATTGATTCTGTTTCAAAGTTGATTCTGGGAACAAATTTGCATCTAGGAACAAAATATTTACCAAACGAATTTTTTTTTTTTTTTTGTTCCGGAAAACAAAAAAAATAGAATCGGATACTATTTGGCCGGTTAACAAATAGCCCCTAAATCTTTTAGGGTCAATCAGGATTACCATATATATATATATATATATATATATATGAAGATACGTTATAACGTTCTACAGGGGGCGGTGATTGAAAGAATACAGGCCTCGGTATCTGCAGAGGGCAAGAAGAAGAGGTTCATCTATGTGGGAGATGGGGTTGGCGACTACTGCCCAAGCCTGAAGCTCTCGGAGGGCGACTTCATGTTGCCGAGGAAGAACTACCCGGTCTGGGACTTGATCTGCAGGAATCCCACGCTGTTGAAGGTGGAGATTCGCGAGTGGACGGACGGCGAAGAGCTGGAGCGAGTCCTGCTTCAGTTGATCAACACAATAGCCGCTGAAGAGGAGTTCAAATCTGGCCAGTCGATTTCATCAGACCGCAAGCTGCAGACAGTTGCAGACCGTTGCCGTGTCTGCCCATGAAGCCCTCCCTTCCAGCTGTCCCCGTACCTCAGTAAGAACTTTTACGATGATGGCAAAATAAGAAAAACAATTGTGGGATGTAACTGGTTTGACTTGATATTTGTACTGCCGCACTAGTTTTTGGACAGCTCTTTTAGATTGATTCAGCCTAAGGTCCATTGGCAGCCAAAAAATTATGCTTGGCTGATGAAACAGTGATTAACTAAAGAGTTGGCTAATGAGACTGCAATTCTCTCTCTCTAGCTTTCGTGCATGACTGCTGTTGTTTCAAAACCTTAACAAATGGCTGATATGGCGGTGTTGTTCGACTTCTAAACGACGATCATCGACCGGGAGTGCGACGATTGGATCATCCATGAGTTCAAATTGACCGGTTTGTTCAATGCGCTTCTTTCTACTGTGCACCGGAACTCTCCCGTAGTAATTTTTTTGTTTTGGGATGGCACCATTTCCACACGCTTTTTAATAAAACACGCTCTTTTCATATTAAAAGATCAAATTACCGTTCAGCTTCGTTAAGCATGTAATGATAATTAACAAGACAATTTTTAATAAGATTAACGATCTATGAGTAATTGTCTCTCAGTTTAATTCAAAATTTCCTTCTTTATTGTTTTTTTTGTGGCTAGCTTGAGTAGAACAATTTAGTTTTTTCTCCAGAATAGCAAAATCAAAACCCAATCAGACGAGAAATGCTCGATAAAGTAGCAAATTAAACACAATTAGTGAGACGTCTACTTTATCTCACTATCACTCAGCCTGACCATGTGACCCATGACCAGGCCTGGCCTGGATCAAGTCAAGTGCCGTGCACGACCAAATGCATATTTGGCTCGAAATTCACTTTGGGATTTTTAATTTCTTTGTTCCTTCTGATCTTAAAACTATGAAGGCTAAAAGGAGATCAAAAACGACAAATCAAGAATGATTTCGTTATTGTTCTATCATGAAGTAAGTTATTGTTGAACAAAAGAAGAAGAAGAATAAGAGGAGGAGAAGAATACACGTATTGGGGAAAAATACGTAACACTGTTTGTTGTAATCAGAAAATTTATCGAGAATGCGACAACAAAATAAACAAGAATTGGAGGTGAGGTACGGCTAGCCGAATCTCCTTAAGATGATAAGTTCCTGCCAATGGTGCTAAGCAGCTTCACGAACTTCGCCTCCCAAAATACAACACCTTGAACCTGTTGGTATTAGCACTATACGAACAAGACTTTGTCGAACACTTCTTGAAACCGGCACACTTAGAGAAAACTTGAAGAGAGGAAACATTGGTGATTTTTGCTTCTTGTCGGAATGCTTCTTCTCATAATGAAGATTTTGAATTCTATTTATAGAATTTTTGAATTCATGTACAGAAACGTACATGAATCACGAAATAAATAGATTCAAGAATCTAGTAGATACATGAATTAAATAGATACAAAAATCCAAGAAATACATTAATCAAGAATTAAGTAGATACACGAATCCAAGAAATACATGAACACGAGAAATACATGAATTCATGAGATACGTGAATGGAAACAACGTATCTCGTTTTGCTCACATTCGTTGATCCATTAACCCACCATAAATACAACAGTTATTACTATTGCTCATGAACTATGCCGTGAAATTATTTTCTATGAATAAGTGTATATTTTGATGCGAAGAGGTTACGAGTAGATATGGATTACCATGAGAAATCACTGAAAGCGCAAAAGAACCGATTGCACTATCTTTCCACAACTCAAATTAACCACATTAGGAGATCAACAGATTGATCAATTCACGATCCCGAAAATAACCAATTTTTCTTTTTTACTTTGAAACATAATTTTACTTAGAATGAAGACATTTTTATCATATTTATTGATTCATGACACTGGAGATTAATTAATTAATTAGTTTGGAAACTTAGCATAAATATGGCATGGGAAGGAGAAAGAAGGCAAGATTAATTCTATTAAGAGAGGGGTAACGTTAAAGAAAAACTTAAATGGTAACAGTGACACTGAGATGGGCATTTTAGGGAGCATTACTCAAGAAGAAGATCAATCGAGGAAACTGCATGTGAACTTGAGGCTTCGTTTATTTCATGGAAAATGAATGATTTGGAGAATATTTCCTTAATGTGCTAGCAATTCAATTTAGTTTAATAGAATGAGTGTTTTCATTAATTTTCCATCATTACTTTTTCTAATCTAACCATTGAATAAAATTAGTTTAATTCTTTTTGATTTTTTGCACGAAAAAAAATTAACTTACTGTGCTCTGGATAATTTAGATTAAATTCTATAAATTAATTCTTTTGAAAATTTAAATTACGTAAGGCTGTCTTAAGTAATTTTAACCCCCAAACAAGACAAAAAAAGAAAGGAAGAGGAGAAAGAAGTGACGTGGCATCCTATGCAAAATGGAGAAATTCAAAAAAGAAAAAAGAAAAAAAGAGCACATTCTTCGTAAAAGAGTATGAGAGAGCACATTCATCAAAAACATACCCGGCTAACAAATATTTTCTACCGCTTTATATAATTTTCTCCGGAAAAATCCTTAAGAGCTCCCGCCTCTGTTTGTTACAAGCAAAGACTCTCACTCTCGGAAAGTGGCCTTTGTAACGTTTTCCTGATGTGGGTTACATTAATTGAGATTGTTATTACCCTCTTGTAAGTCTGGTCTAATAAGGTTAGATATAAGGTTTCTTAATTAGTCGGATATGGGTCCGGCTTGTGTGGGTCGAGTTCGGCCCGGCCCGTTATGAGAGAGCTTGCCTGGAAACTCTATAAATAGAGCTGCAGGTCCCTCCTCTGCACCCAACTCTCTTCAATCTCTCTCAAACGCTCTCAAACTCACCTAAGCCTTCCGTGAGCTAGCTGAGGCGGTCTCATAGCACCGGGACTTTGGGGGTGACAGGGGAGAAGACCTACGGCACCGGTTCGTCGTTATTTCTGCATCCAGAGACAATGAAATCCAAATCAGGTGCACAAATTCTATCCATCCTTTTACCGTACCGTCAATATCTCACTATGGTGATCCTAAGGCGCTCGGCTGAGCCATACGGGCCGGCCAATAGCCTTTCCCGTGTTGAAGAAACAGAGCAATTCCATCTGTGGAATTGAATTTGTGATCCGAAGGGGAAGGGAAATTATGAAGATAATGGGAGGGTAATCGTCCGTAGACCACACTACATCTTTCTTCTACTTCTGATATTTGGAAACGTTCTTGTTTTATTTCTTCTTGCTTATCTTTTTCCTGTTCCAGGAATCGCTCAGAACATGATCTGGAAAGTCGGCCGGAATGCGAGGGAGGAACCGACCTTGATGAAGAAGACCTAGACGAAGATTACCGCTGCATGCCTTTCCGTACGTTTGAAGGAGATAAGGGGAAGGGATGCCGTTCAATCACTCGTTCTTGTTTTTCTTCGAATGCGATAAAGAAAGGATGTATAGTTGAACCATTCTTTTCCAGTTTCTAGATCAATCTGGATGCTATGTGTTTGATCCCGTGAAGAAAGAGCACAGTTGAACCATTCTTTTCCAGTTTCTTGATCAATATGGATGCAATTGCACTCACTACGTATTACACCTAAGCACTTGGATGCTAAATCATATTAATAGGAATCTCCTTTCACTTTCTATGACTGCTGCAGGGCCCTCCCTTGTCCATTGACGAAGATGGTGTTGGAAAATATATGCTCCTTCGAATTGTAGAAGAAAAGAAACTTCAATTTCAAAAGGGGTGAACAATAAAATCAGACTTTGAGGTGTGATATCATTTTCTTTAAGGAATTATTTGCCCCACGAAGTTGCTAATGGTCATCGGCAAATTTTCTCCAGGATACAATAAAGTCTCGATTAAGAATACCGAATAGCAATTTCGGTATATCTCTAGGATCTCTCTAGGAAAACAATTAGAAAGAATGGCCACAATTTTTCGGAATGAAAAAAAAATGTCTAAAATTTCGAATGAAGAGACTTAATATTCAAGTAAAAACGGACTCACTAATCACACCCTTTCGAACAAAGGCGTCCCTTCATCAAAAAGATGTATAGTGAATTGGTACAAAATCAAAACTCACGTTGAAAAAAGATATATGAAAATTCGGAATAAAATAATAATAAAATAAAAGAATAATATTTTTTAATTATTATTATTTTTTAATCATTTTTATTAATCCGAATTTTATAAATTCTGAAAAAAAATCTTTGAACAAATACAACCCTTCAACATTGAAGGAGTTATGTCCAAAAAGACAAAACCTTCCAAAGGTGAAGTAGTTATGTCCGAAAGGACACAATTCTTCCAAAAGTTGTAAGAACGCCTAATAACCGTTAGACTAAATAATAAATTTCGAAATTAATTAATAAAAAAAATAATCGCAACTCTATTGCGAATAGTCACACTGTTTCAATAGGATAAAATCGTTATTTTATAATAATAAATTCGAAATTTAATAAATAAAAATAATAAACGTGGATTAGTGTTAATTATCATCCGCGAGCTCGCCAAGTGCTATGTGCGCCTAATAATTGCGCCAAAATCGCGCACCCACACGCAGGTATTGAGAAGTCTAGTCCACACCCCATTGTCTTCACTTTAACAAGGAAGAAGACACTCACACATATAAAGTGGCCCACTTTCTCAAAACTTTCCTACATGGGACAAAGGAAAAAGCACTATTTTGTTTGTTTTACAAACAAACAACCAGCAATCCCTCCCTTTGTTTGTAAAACAAAATACCAACTAAGATTATAAAAAGAATACAGCCATAATTTTCATGAGATTAATATACATACATAAAGGTCTCTTTCGAGTTAAACCTTCATTTAGTGCAAGCACATCAAAACTCTATAAAAGTGACAAATAGCTATGCTTTAAACTTGTACTCTATGTAATAGAATCGGACATACCACACATATACTAACATCTTGTTTCAGCGAGAAGTTCTACATTACTCAGCACTATTATGACCATGTGCTTGTATCTGTTTCATGAGCTTTCTAGAAAGCAACCCCAACTTTCGTAAGAAGCGGCACCACTTTTAAGCTCATATAGGTGAAGTATCTTTCATGTGTTTCTGTTACTAATAACACATTTGAACCATACTTCATTAAGAATTTAATTCAACCTACAAACGTAACATATGATACTGACTTCTCATGTCAAGGCTCATGTCAATATCAAATAATCACTTCAGTAACTTGTTTTTACCCATTAAACCTTATAACTAGTGATGTTCTAGTATAAG